ACCGTCAAATCCACTTTTCCTTCCCATCTTTTCCTTTTAAGAAAAGCGTGGAAAGGGAAAGGGACCAAAATTAGGCCTCCCGCACCACACTCATCAGACGAAACTCGGAATTGCTTCCACTTCATGCCTGTTTTCTGTGTGGTCGTGCTATTGCACCGGGAGAGCCGGCCTATTCGTGCGAGGATGTTAAAGCGGGCTATACCACTGTAAAATATTTATTTATTTTATATTTACGGGTCACTTAAAATTCGACCGGCAACTAAGAATAGTTAATAAAAAAAGTTTGTTAACATAAGTATTTACCTTTATGCGTGCTGGCAGTAAATCCGATATCTTCAAACAGTATATGCACAGGCGGTCGCTTCGCCATGCGATTGAGAGCTTTGAGTGTAGAACCCGCCCTTTCTAACGCGGCAGGGGTCCATTGATTTTCAGTAGGATCTAACACTAGCGGATTAGGGTTTGTAGGCGTGTTATGAGCTAACGTAGCGCCTACAATCGCTTTCCTAACTAATGGTACTTTCGACATTTTTACTAAGAATCGTTATTAAATTAATATCGAATTCTGTTTTGAATTATCGCGCGTCCATACTGCGCGGGAGTCGACCACGACTGTTGTGTTGGAAGACAACGCGCCTACTGAATAAAAACGATAGCTCGTCTCTTCCCCAATATTGCATTTTTCATGCTTAAAATGACGAGGTTGTGTACTTTTTTTTTTCGGTTGTGTTTGTTGTCACTTTTTCGGAAGTGTAGCGTGGCGCGATATATTGGTAAAGCAAAAATTCCTCATTGCATAGGAACGGTACGGTAATCTTACTAGTATTATAAATGCGAAAGTTTAAATAGATGGATGTTTGTTAGAATTTGTAGCCAAGACGGCTTAAGAGATTTCGATCATTGTATAGATGTAGAGAATAGTATGGAAGAACACATAGGCTTCTCACTTTTGTTTTTTTTTATTCCACGCGGACGGAGTAGCGGGCGAAAGCTAGTATTTTATATAAAAATGTCTTAGTTTCATGATAAACAATATAAATCTTAATTATCATACTTATACAAAAAAAAATAACAATGAAAATCAATCCTAGATAACAATTTCTGGTTTTAAATGATATCATTTTTAATACTTTTCATTAATATGCATTGATAAGAATTTTATCTCTTGATAAAACTTAATGCGATGAAATGACCTAAGTGATTACTATTGATATTACTAATTACTAGCTGTCTCTCGCAACTTCGCTCGCGGGAAATTAAAAAATATAGTTCATGTTATTCACAAATAAATTACCTTTCAAACGGTGAAAGAATTTATAAAATCGGCCTAGTAGTTTTTGAGTTATTTCAATACATAAAAATACAAAAATACAAATCTTTCCTCTTTATAATATTAGTATAGATAATTTAATTGAGATACGTTGAACCTTTTCTGTATCTTTTATCAAAGCTGATTTAAATCCAGTAGATAGTTGCCAAGTCAATAGTAGATTTTTTTTTATTACTACAAGGGGCTTTGTCGTGAAGCGACCATAACGCCCCATATAAAACTAACAAAAACCGATTATCTAACTTGTATCTTAAACAGATGTCGGCCAACTTAAACACAATCCTGGCGTCGTCCGTATACGAGTATGCCAGGATAGTGTCCAAGTGACCGAAATTACATCTATAAACCTTAAAATAATTAAGTCTGAAACGCTCCGAACACACTCTAACGGTAGATATATGCTTAACGGGGCGAAAAGTTTGTTAATATTTGTACGATTAAAGTTACTGGCAACTAATAATTTTGAGCACTGGCTGAATGTACATCGTGCATGATAGATGTCAAGCGGCGGTCGAATAACAGATGACAGTTGTCTTTGAATGGTGGAATGATGCGTTTTGTTATTATAAAATCAATTTTATTAATCGGTTAATGTCTGTGAATGTTTACAATTCGATTTGTCCATATACTTTGGGATTACAAGCCTGCAACTCAAAGGGGGTAGGCATAGATCATAGACTTCCATTAGTTCCTATACCTATTGGTTGTATATTAAAGTAAATTTGATGCAAATGTAAACATAATACTAATGGAATGTTCAATAAAAATTTATTGGCAAGGAAAAAACTGATAAATGTATATATTAAAAAGTGAACAAAGGAAAGTACAAAGGCCACAGCGTCACTACCGTTGTGAGAGGAAGGTACGGAATCTTTAAAGAGGTAAGGTCATAATAAAACTCGCAAATTACATGCCAATAAATAATAAATCATTATCTTAACTAAGGGTTAATAAACTAACTAAATGATTTTTACAAATATATTTCAGAAAAAAATCAATTATTATTGAAGGAAGAGTGGATAAAAAATGTGATTTTTTTAAGAATAAAAAAGAATTTTTAACACTAACGTGAATTAAAAAAATTAGGAAAAAAGTTTTAACGACTTATGGCCGATATACAAAGTAAATGTAACCATTCGGTAGTGATTTCGGTTCGATAACATGTATGACCCGAACTAAATAATTTGAATTTTACTCCGAAACTCAAGTCAACCGAACACTAACGAATCACTAGGTTATGATAAAATAAATTGTAACTTCAGAAACAGCATTAAGCCAAGTATTTTAAAGTTGCTAATAGGTTGTTAAAGAGAAAGCTGATATTGTGCATGAAAGTGTACGTTTCTAAACGTCACCCCACACAAAGTCTCAGACTACTACTAGTGTACCAAAAGGAGTAATTACCTAACGAATCGTCGAGCCATGTTCACGCTCCATGAACAAGTCGTATTAAGGCTTTGCGCGCAGTTTCATACGTTCTGTTTTCTCTAAGCGAAACGATGAGTTGCCTGTGTTCTGTACAATTGTTTACAATAATATTTGTTTAGATTTACTTTTCTAATAGAAATATGGATATTATGTGACAATAAAAATGGATACAAGTAAATGGATTTTCAGATGTTATTTCAAGGGCATACCAATTTTTCGCAGTTCGATATATCATTTTTTGCGTAAAAAACAACAAAATGAAATACCTAATTTTATAGACGTGTGCAACAATTATAGTATTTATAGTTTAGATGGGACAAATAATGTAAAAAAAACTTTCTTTAGATCGTCCATTTGAGGGACACATAATCCCTATACTACTTTATCTCCAAAATTAAATCCTTCCAAATAAAAATCGTGTAGTTAAAAATGTATTGTTCATAATACGTCAGCAATCTTTACTATATAATGTCAAGGACTGTCTGATTCAAAGCGAGATATAGTGCGACAAATTTCGCTGACCCAGTAAGAGAAGTGCCATTACATAGTTCTGTCAGGAAAAGTAAAATCACGCACAAGACAAATCTACGGCACGATAAGGATCTTTAGGAGATTGGCAGTTGATAATGAGGCGATGAAATTTTTACTTATGCTCACCGGGTCGGATAAATTAGTTGGACTATATTATTCTTGTATAGGTTCAGTGTAGACGTAACTCCGCGGAAGTGTTTCTGTCCGGTTGTTCACCCGCAGTGCATTCATAGCGTTATGTAACGTATCGTGTCATAACGCGCGCTAACCGTAGACTCAGACATTAATTAGAGCTATTTGATAGTTCGTGTATTTGAATCGCATATGAAAGTAAATGCAATTTTGCGGAAATGTAAATAGAATAAATATATTTTCTTATCTATGTTATGTTAATTAACCTAAATGTTGGATTTACGTTAGATATGTAATTAGTGTGAATCTGTAAATCGTTTAGGTTTCTATCAATTTTCGCAACAAAATGTGTTTTGACCATATTGAATTACTAGCTGGTTCTCGTGAGTTAGTTGGCGTGGAATTAGAAAAAGTCAGTGAAAAATACAGCCTATGTTACTCACTGATAACGTAGCTTTTTAATAGTGAAATCGGCCCAGTAATTTTTGAGATATTTCATTACATACAAGAATCCAAAAATTCAAATTTTACCTCTTTATAACATTAGTATAGATGTCTATCTCCTATTTGATATAATCATTCAAATTCTACTGGAAAAAGCCACCAGGCGCCATGTGTTCCGCAATTAATTACTCATTGCTATAAAACAAACCGCATCGGTATACCTAAATTTGTATTAGATAAAAAATTGAACAACATTCAGACAGTATTAATACTATAATGTAATTAATAATTGAATGGAAAGTAAAATCTTTGGAAATCGACAATAAAGTTACAATCTTATTAATATTACAAATGCGAAAGTTTAGATGGATGGATGTTTGTTAAAGTTTGTAGCCTAAACTACTGAACGGATCTCGATGAAATTTACCATAAATGTAGATGATAGTCTGAAGATACATATAAGCTACTTATTTTTGTTTTTTTTTTTAATTCCACACGGACGGAGTCGCGAGCGAAAGCTAGTATAATAATAAAGATGTAATGTTGGTTAAAGATCTTGACTATTGAAATAAAATCTTCAAAGCGAAGTTAGCGTAATTCAAATAAAGTAATGTAATTAACTTTTATCACAACATAAGGAAAAGTGCAAAATATGGCAATACTTGATGTCTTTGACATTGATGTCTATTATGGGAAAATGATATCCAGTATCAGGGTTACGCTGACCTTTTCTAGTTAACCTACTTCTTATGTTACCACATTTTGTATTGCATTCTCTGTTTCAAATGTTTAAGTGTTCAAGGAACTTTTTCTTTCAATTCGAATAGAAATGTTCCTAAATTGTACACTTGGAATATATTTAAATATAATATTAACAGTCTTCAAAATACACAATAATATTATAAAGAGGAAAAATATGTATTTTTGTACGTATTGAAACAACTCAAAAATTACTAGGGCGATTTTAAAAATTCTTTCACGGTTCGAAAGGTAATTTATCTGTGAGTAACATATATTTTTTTATTTATAACGGATGTAGTCACGAGTAACAGCTAGTGGGAATAATTTCGAGTATACACTTACGTTAACAAAATGTAGTATTTACATAGCATAAGAAAATTGAAAATAATTTTACCTTTTCGAATGGTGACTGTGCATTTTATATCTTCAAATAAGATATGTACTGGAGGTCGTTTCGCCATACGATTCAATGCCTTCAGCATAGATCCAGCCCTTTCCAATGCTACGGGTGTCCAACGATACTCGTGATTGTCTTGGTTCCCGAGGTTTGCTTGATTCACAGGTTTATCCATTATGTTTTACGATTGCAAAATTTAACACTTTAAAATTTAAATACAATTTAAAGTAAATATTTGATTACTTTGTTTATTTTTAAAACTTTTAAATGAAAAAATTACTTTTTCAATATCTTTTTTTCTTTAATGTCTTCAGGCGACAGTAAGTAATTGTAAATAATTATAACCTATTAACCCGAAATGATACTAATTACACTAACTGAACTGTTATAGCGTCGCGCTCTATCCAAGCTGTGTGTCTACTGATAGACGCCGTATATTGCCCCTCTCGATTAGATCAAGCTAAACTTTGCTCAATAAATAAAACTAACTAATTTATTTCTAGGATGTCTATAGTTATAGATTTTGGTCTAGAGTATTTCTGCAGTTTGTAGCATTAAAGCTGCGAGTATACTATCAGACTTCATACTAATATTGTAAATGCGAAAGTTTAGATGGATGGATATTTGTTAGAGTTTCTAGCCTAAACGGCTGTACGGATTTCGATGAAATTTGGTATACATGTAGTATGAAAAACACATAGACTACTCACTTTTGTATTTTTTTAGTTCCACGCGGGCGGAGTCGCGGGCGATAGCTAGTTCTTCATAATTTTTTTAAATGAAATTATTTAATGACTAGCATTCGCCCGCGACCCCGTCAGCATGGAAAAAAATGAATAGCCTATGTGTTCTTCCAGACTATCCTCTACATCTATACTAAATTGCATCGAAATCCGTTCAGCCGTTTAGGCTACAAACTCTAACAAACATCCATCTATCCATCCATCCAGTCATCCATCTAAATTTTATTTTAAGATGAACGGCATGACGCTATTATATCGTCAAACAGTCTGTAACCCGTAGCTTGTGACCCTTTATGTTATGGTAATAAATGAACTTTTAATAAAAAAAAAAAACTCTTTAACAAATACTTTACGTGATTCAATTCACATCGCTTAAGTATTTTCTAGCAATTTGTGAAGCAAGTTTTTACGATCGTTTTACAACCCCGTGTACTTACGTTTCTTTCATCGGATACGTGAGTAAGATTAAATCTAACTTTGTCGACACTGCTAATAGTAGAAGTAAATGTAATACTGACTTAATTGTTTTTTATTTAACAGTTACGTTTAGCGTTATCGTATTTTGTATTCGGTATATACTTGTAAGAAGATGGCAAGCAAACAAGAGCGTCATCTGAACTTCATTTACCCAAATCACTTAACTGTAATCAATTTTATCTTCCAATCCTTTATTTAGCAATGGGTAGAGAGTTAGAATATGATAATCTCGGAAAATGCCTTTTTATAATTGTCATTTTCTGCCGGATCCGATATATTAGAGTAACTGACACAATACAAAACTATACTAGTATTAAACTAAATCTAGATTAAACTAAATTCCAAAGGTTTACCACAGTGCTGGAGGAAATATCTGTACCTACTTACACATACGGCGAATGACCTAATAACTGCGAAACCTGTTTACCAAGAGGCCTAATGTGAAAAGTATATCTTTATTATACTAGTAAAACTTAGTACATTATATAAAGCGATTCTCATATTCCTCGTATTGCATTATTTAATCTTTTTTACCATGTATCTGGTTAATCTTTAAATTAACTGTAAAAAACAGTATTTCCTGCTGGTACAGGTAACGGTAGTAATAAAAGTTTAAACTGTGCCACTGGCATGTTAGGTCAATGTTTCAAATTAAAATAAAGATATTTATCTCTTTTCCCGACTGAAAGTAGGGTAATATTTGTAACCTTGGAAAGTTTAACCAGGTAGAGATTTCTAAAACATCATCCTCCATTTTTTATTCTCATCTGTTATTAGATGTTTATGTTCTTTTACTTGTAAGATCAGAATAGTCTTTTCAATTTTTCAAACATCTCTACAATTCATCATGTTTGAATTCATTCTTTTCTTATGAAGCAAAGAACAAAATCGTTTTCACTAATTTAGAGACAATTAGTGATTCGCCCCGGCTTCGCACGGGAATGTATTATACACGTAAACCTTCGTCTTAAATCACTCCACCTATTAAAAACTGCGTTAAAATTTAAGTATTAACTTAATTGTAATATAAACGTACATAGGAACAGACAGACAGCGGGATTTTAGAAAAACCCAGTAATTCTTACGTGAATCAAGTACATACAAAAATACAAATCTTCCGTTTTTATAATACTAGCTTTAGCTCGCGACTCCGTACGCGCGGAATTTAAAAATAAACAAATGAAGGTATGTGTTGTTCGAGACTATTCTCTACATCTATGCCAAATTTCATCGAAATCCGTTCAGCTGTTTTGGCTATAAACTCGTACAAACATCCATCCGTCCATCTAAACTTTCTCAATTATAATATTAGTAAGTATAATATTAGTATAGACTATGGAGTGACACTACTAAGACGTATAAATCGTACCCTATAGAGGTTTTATAAACAATGGTTCTGAATGAAGGAGACATATTGCCGTCTTATTATTCTTTCCGAAGCGACGTTTGTCGACAATGAGGTGGGTAAGTAACGATGTCCACGACAAAAAATCGCTTTAATTTTTCGCCTGTCTCGTTTGTATGTTTTTCCGAGCGATACGTTACATTAAGACATATATCTTATCCGAATTAACTTTCTACATCAATTTGTTTTTAAGAAAAGTTATTCAATATGTTTTCAAATTAAATTTAAGCCAATTGCGATTTATTTTTTCGTATACTAATCGTTAGTTTTATTGTATTTTAAATAGTAAATTTTCGCAAATAAACGCTGTTTACTAATGGTTCCTAAATATTATTAAAAATCTAATATAGCCTATGTTACTCACTGATAAATTACCTTTCTAATGGTGAAAGAATTATTAAAATCGTCTCAGTAGTTGCGTGAATCAAATACATACAAAAGTACAGAAATCCTAAAATACAAATCTTTCCTCTTTATAATTTTAACTAGCTGTTTCCGTGCGACTTCATCCGCATAAAATTATGAAATTTTTATTGTTTAGATGTGTCAAATTATCAATTGCAAATGTCAAAATGACATGACATGATGACAAAGCATGGCTATCTTGCTTCCTTGATGTTGGCAACTTATGGTCTCTTTCCCACATCAGGGTTTTTATCCCTATGTTTAAAGGCGTGAAAATATGTAGCCTAAAGCGTGACGTAAGTGTAGGGCTTTTTATTAAAAAATATGCTGTAATTTCTGACATCTTAGGCAACAAAGAAGTGCGTGTTTACGTTTTATTATAATAGTATAGATAGATATATACTCGTATATATAGAAGTATAGATAATTTGTTATTGCCAATGATCTTTCAATTGAATTTTGTGATAAAAAACAAAAGACGCGGTAGTTTTTAAGCGTAAATGAGATTCCCTAAATCAGGATTATACGCGTCATCAGCATTTATTTGCGACCGTGTGCAGTGTATGAGACGTATTATTAACAGTTACATTAATTAGTGGCCATGACTGGATGATATAGTAGTTAAATGCAACTCCGTGACAGATACTTGACCTAGAAGCGGAATATCTGCTGGGTTGTGATATGAAGATTGTGATAAACCTTTGTCAAACACATGTTTAATATGCGTATAGAATGTATGAGCATACCGATCTTGCGGAAGACTAATAATAATTCTTTTTTTAATAATAAGAATAATAATCCCGTCTGACTGGTATTATTTATGTATTTTATTATTTAAGTATGCTTCATTATGATATACGAGTAAGTATTTTATATTAGTATGTATATAAAAATATGTTTATTTTATTTTATTTATATATAAAAGCCAGACGAAGACAAAATAACTTTAAAAAGAAAATAAATTATTCATTAGTTATTGTATTAATAATACAATGTAAATGATAGTTGGCTTTCTTTTTCCTCACCTTTTTCGTATAAGAAAAAACTAGGGAGGGGAAGTATATTTGGCGGGAAATATCTTTTTGTGCATCTCCTCCTTTGTAGAGTTAAGAGGTACTTAAAGAACGTATCTGCAATTAACATGGGCAGTGATCGCTTTGCTGTTTTGATAGTCTTGGTGGCTGTTAGCTCGTGTGTCAACTTGTATTATAAAAATGTACAGTAGAAGAGATGAGAGTGTACTGTGGCTGCGCCAAATGGAAGTCCGTGCTATTTGTCAACAGAGGTTAGGGATGTTAGATATTTTCTTGTAGTACGTATAACATATCTTTTTAGTAGTAAGATTTGTAAATAAAGTTCATTCTCTTCTATATATAAATGATAAGTATTAACCCCTTTTTATTTGGATAAATTGAACGTCGGTTCGAAAAGGATCGTTCGAGGGCACTGACATCGTTTTTAATTTAATTTACGTAAAGGCGTCACGTTTTTCTATACCCTTTTCAGAAAAATATCCCAGAGATAGAGTATTACACTTAATTACTTTCCACGTATTTAATTTATTTTGAATAAAACATGTTATTATGTAGCTTAGTAAATCAATGTAGTAGTGTAAAGTTTTTCATTTTAATTTAATACTAGCATTTTCCCGCGACTTCGTCCACACAGTATTAAGATAAAAGTAGTCTATAATATGCCCGTCTATGTCAGCTACCCTTCAGTGAAATTCCGGTCGAAATCGGCCCAGCCGTTTCGGAGATTTCCCGAAACAAACGCGGCTTGTGTACAGATAGACATAAAAAAAATTATCAGCAACGCAAATACATCTTCCCGAAATCAGGAATTTTTCTTTTGAAATTACACTACAATTTTATTATATGCATAGATTTAAAAAAGTTTATTGAAATCGACACCAAAAATTATTATTATTTGTAAGGTTTCATACAAAACAAAAATTGGTTTCAAATTCTTATAGAATTAAAATCCGGCGTCGGTATTATGGGCGTTATATTTAATTTGATCTCATGATCCGACGGCGGTTGTCCGCGTATATTTTACTTCACCCTCGTCGGTTTTCTCGTTCCTTTTGAATAAGATTGTGAAAAAGATAAGCATTTCTCGCATAATTGTGCCAGTATTTATGTGGTTTCGCCAAAGAGCCTTAGCTACGAGGATTAAGCGATCCTCTAACGCGTTAGCAGTATTAAAACGATAATATTTTTAGCAAAAAAATGTTGGATGTAATAAATGTAATTGCATTTTCTTTCTGAATTACATTTGTTTAATATTCATGTCCAAAACTTCATCGGGATTAATAACTAACCAGCACTTGTAGATTATATTAAAAAAGAAGTAGTATATATTTTAACACAGATAAT